ATCCAAGAGTCACATGGGTAACCAGCCCCAAACGAGCACTCATCATCAACTCGCATCTAAGAGTTACACGGGTAACCAGCCCCAAACGAATACTCAACATCTTGCATCCAAAAGTCACGCGGGTAACAAGCCTCAACAAAGCACTCAGTCTGCAAAGGTATCGACCGACAGAAATTCTAATCTCGAGATCTTCGAAATCGACATCGACACTTCAAAAAAATTGTTGCCTCACATCCTTGTTAATACACAAATATCAGATATACCCGTGACACTGCTCGTAGATTCGGGTTCTGCTATATCATTATTAAAAAAATCCTCTCTTCATAAAAATCCTACTCTAACAAACGAGACAATCAATTTAAAGGGCATTGACCCTGGGGTTGAAACAACCCCCACATTAGGTCATTTTCAACTGAAGCTAGAACTCTCTCAAGGGAAAAGCATCCGTCACAAATTCCACGTTATCAAGGACATAAACCTTCCTTATGATGGCATCATAGGTACCGGTTTCTTTACGTCTTTCGGTTGTAGTATCGATTACACAAGTGATGTCCTTAAAATAAGGGGAAACAATGTTAAACTTCATTTTTATAATCCAAGTTATATAATTCCAGCTCGTTCCGAAACAGTCATTGAATGCACCGTCCAAAACCCCGAGTCAATGAAAGAGGGTATAATCCTAGACCAACATTTGTCAGAATCCCTATTAGTCGCGAACTGTATCGTCAACGTGAAGGAAAATAAACGGATCAACATCACAGTTGCAAATATTTCAGAGTCTCCAATTAAAATCAATGCGAATCAAAATTTCAAAATTATGCCATTAAGTTCTTGCGCAGTTCAACTATCAACAAACTCACAAAATACATCCGGAAGGACAAAAGAAGTAATAAATTCACTGAGACTTTCGCATTTGAATGAAGAAGAATCATCAGCTATAACCGATTTGTGTTCTCAATATTCCGACATTTTCTATCTACCTAATGATCAATTGACGTATACTACAGCTTTGAGTCATCAAATCAGGACCAATACCGACATTCCGATGCACACTAAATCATATCGATTCCCAGAGTGCCACAAAAAAGAAGTGGAAACCCAAATCAACAAAATGCTCGAACAAAACGTTATAGAGCCTTCTTCCTCACCGTGGAGTTCCCCAATCTGGGTAGTTCCCAAAAAATTAGATTTGCAAGGACAAAGAAAATGGAGAATTGTCATTGATTACCGGAAACTTAACAATATAACGATCGGGGAAACATATCCAATTCCGCAAATTTCAGAGATTCTTGACCAATTAGGGCAAGTACTTCAGTACTCTTGATCTCACTTCCGGTTTTCACCAAATCTTGATGAGTCAGCAAGACGCACCTAAAACAGCCTTCTCTGTCCCACAAGGACATTTACAATTTAACAGGATGCCATTTGGGCTAAAGAACGCCCCTTCTACGTTTCAAAAACTCATGAACAATTGTTTATCCGGTCTTCAAGGTAATAGGTGCTATGTATACCTGGACGACATAGTTATTTACAGCTTCGATCTAAAAACTCACCTTGAAAACCTCAAAAATGTCTTCGAAAGGCTAAGAAATTTCAATTTGAAACTCCAGCCTGAAAAATGCGAGTTTCTCCGTAAGGAAGTAGCTTATTTAGGCCACATTATTAATGACAAGGGTGTACACCCCAATCCTGATAAAATGAAGGCTGTCACATCCTACCCAATTCCTCGATCACCTAAAGACATCAAATCTTTCCTCGGACTCGTCTCCTACTACAGACGGTTCATAGAAAACTTCTCCAAACTAGCAAAACCCTTAACGTCCCTATTGAAGAAGGACGTTAGGGGGTTGATGTTGCTCGCTTCCGTAGGTTTACCCTTGAGACCCTACAAGTGACCCCTGGGTGGTGCTAAAGAGCAATAACTACTGGTGGTAGGCTTCGGCCGTGGCTAGTCACCACCCTCCCGACGCAGTCGAGTCGCCAAATGGTTTTTACCGTGTTCCGACTCGTGTTCGGGAGTTGCCATTTGGAGGTCGGGTCTGAACAGTTGCATTGCGTCTGACGGCGAGTTGTAGCTGCTTGTACTGCCACACTGAGCACTCGGTTCTGGAGGCTAGCGGGATCCGAAGCACGGTGCACCGCTGGCCGACCGTGGGAAGTTGGGGGCCCAAGTAGCGGGAAAGCCACCCGTGAAAGGCTGCCCCGCCACCCAACGAAAAATCCCGGAATGCTCCACCTTGCCGGTTGGCGACCGGAAGGGAGGACCAGGTGGCCATCTCCGGGGGGGTTCGGGCGTCCCCGCGGTCTCCAAGCCGATTGTAACCTCGTGTGGCAGTATGAGTCTGCTGCTTGGTTGAACACGACGCAGTGCCTCGTTCAACTGCCTTCCTCCTGCCTATTCACTT